GTATGAATGTTAAGGGAGGGGGTACAAAACCTTTATTTTTTTTTTTTTTTTTTTTTTGGTTTGTTGAGGCAGGTTCTCACTAGGTAGTTGAGACTGATCTGGAACTCATTATATTGCCAAGGCTGGTCTCAAACTCACAGTGATCCTCCTGCCTCAGCCTTTTGAATGCTGAGATGACAGGCGTGCGCCACCACACTCGGGAAAAACCTTTAATTCTTGATTTAAAGGAGGCCTTGGGGAAAATAAATTTTAGTTTCTGGTAAAGGTGTATTTTTGTAATATACCTGTAAAGTTTATTAAAAGTATTCCCATTCTACTTCCGCAAATGCCAGCCTGGTGGTAAGATGACATAGTTATGTCATATAGTTCAAAGCAAAATGTTCTCTGACTGCGGTACCTTACCGTACTGCTATGGAAAAATCAAATGGTATGTTTCCTTACAGGTCTCCCTTAAGTGCAGGACACCCATGTGTACAGGGTGTGTCACAATGTTTTCCTCTGCATGTTGCTGGCATGCTTCGAGCCTGGACAGTATTAGTTGTGTCAGTCTCTCTAGCGACCCATTGTTATCTCCTCACATCTAAACATAAGTAAGTCCTCCTGAGGGGATAGACAGTAAAGAAAATGACAAGTCGTTGCTCCTTAAGCAAAAGCTGAATTTATGTTTGAGAGTAATTGATTTACTGTATTTTGTCAATAACGGGCATTTAACTTCTTTAATCTGTATTCTACATCCATTGTAGTAGCAAAACATGCCTGCAAAATCTTCAAACTATGTCCTACACTTGGCCAGATTTTTAGTACTGTCTACCTAGACCGCCTTTTTCTGAGCTTGTATTTGTTGTACAGTAACGTTTCTAACTTTCCCTCTATCATTCTTGATCTGTATTTCTCAACTGCAACCAAGTAATAACTTGAAAATGTAAATGATTCATGTCACTCCTGTTTTCATTCATCACCTGGCTTCCACCACACTTAGAACAGACCCCACAGTCATTACTATAGCTCTAGAATTGACCCTGGCAATCCTTTCAAACTCTTTCCACCACTCTACCACTTGCTCACACCACTGGAGATACAGTGGCTTCTGAAATGTTTCTTGAACTTACCAAACACATTCTTATGATAGAACCTTAGTACTTGCTCTCAGACTCTTTGCCAAGAATGTTCTTACCCCTTATATTCAGGTTATTCATTCCTGTATAATTTGTCACCAGCGTTTGAAACACCTTGTCTAAAATTACCCCTCCCAATCACACTCTATTCTCCTGCCTGTCTAATCATTTTCCACAGTACTTTGACTTTTTTTATTGTCTGTCTTTTCATAGGATATAAACTGTCTGAGATAAAAGGCTGTTTTGATCATCACTGTATCCTTAGTAAGCATATAGTAAGGTAAGTAATCAATAAATATTTGTTGAATGAATTAAATTCAGTTTACTTCTAGACAGCTTCTAGGTAGCATTTCTGCTTAGTACTATGACTTATAAATGCTCTTTCAATAATCTGTAGACACTTTTAACAAAAATGTGTGGAAACATTCATGTTTTTAGTCTTTGAAGGAAATTACAGCAGAACAAAAGATGATCTGGATGTAGCCATAGGGACATAGGGATACAGCAATCAAGAGAGAATAGTTGAGAAAGAGAAAGCCAGACCTCTAAGACAGGATCCTCACTGTTTCCTACATTTTAAAATGTGATTGCTGCAATGAATCACTTTGTATATCAAGATCTACTCAAATCTTTTTACATAACCCATGTGAATGATAGGATTAGATACTTAATCTTTTTATATTGTCTTGGAAGTCCATAGATTTGAGGTTGTGTTTTAAATTTTGGGCTCTGACAAAGTTTGCCAAATTTGCAATTCTTTTGGAAAATGTTTGATCCTGGACACCTGGGTGAGATTTATGGCACAGATGAACAGTGCAGAAGGGAGTTCATTGCAATGAGAGATTGCTAGGAGGTGTCTTTCAGTTGGAGAACAGGTGGCATTTAAACTCCACACGTAGTGATTTATATAAAAGCGGTGTCAGTTGATAAAGTTTAGGCTCACATAGCTCACATCTTTATTTTGAACATCTCCATTGCATGCTTGCTCTGTGATTTCCTAAAGGAAACTATTTGATATGCTTAGCATATTATGCGCTCACAATGTCATGTATTTTGAAAGCACAGCTCAAATCTAAGTTGACAACTTCCCACTGCTCTGACCCTAGTGATGAAGCTGAAAATAGCTGAGCAATTCACTGAAAAATCACAAGATACATTCTGCACTGTAGATTTGATAATGGGTTATAGTCTTTTACTATGGGAGAAAAAGTGTTACATGATTTTGCAGCACTGAGAGATTTTACATGGTAGAATCTTTCACTTTACAGTTATAAGAAACTAGTCCTTAAACAGGGTAGTGGCTCAATAAATGAGCTAGCAATAGAGGTAAAGCTGGAACACGTTCTTTTGATTCTTAGAGTAAAGATTTTTTTTCTTTTCTTTTTTTTTTTTTGAGGGCGCTGCTTTACTGCAAGCTTCACCGGTGATGCAGGTAGAATTTTGATCCTCATATACTTTTCTTCCTGGTGTTATATTTGTAATATTTTTTCCTCACAAGGCAAAAAGGACTTTCCAGATATAATTAAGGTTACTAATCAGCTTGTACTAACATAGGCAAGTCATCCTAGATAATCTAGTTGTGCCTTAAATCACATGAGCCCTGAAAAGGAGAAATCAGATGACAAACACAAGGAGGATCAACTATACCACTGAAAAGGAGAGAGATTGAGCCAGGAAATGGCGCAAACCACTGCAAACTTCAGTGAACAGCAGTAGGAACACAAAGACCTTAGTCCCGCACACTCTGGGAGCTAAATTCACTACTAACCTGAATGATCTTGAAAGTGGATGTTTCCGAGAGCCTCCGAAAGGAGTGCAGTCCAAGTGATGCCTTCATTTCAGAATCTAGCTTCATTATGGAGACAGAAATAATAAATATTTTAATAAATATTTTAAGCCCAAAAGTTTTTGAAAAAAATTTTTACAGCAGCAATAGGAAAAAAAAATACAACCAATTTTTCCAGTGTTCTCTGTATCCTTTCTTGGTCTTGACAAGTGTCCTTAAACAACATTTACTTTTTTTTTGGTACCAGAGATCGAACTCGGGTCCTTGTGCTCGTGAGGCAGGCAGTGGCACCACTGAGCTAAATCCTTGGCCCAACATTTGCTTCTTTTAATAGGGAATTATTTACCCAACTATCCACACACGGATAGGGCATCCTTTATCCAAGTAGAGTGCCTGTCGGATTCTTCTCGAGGTCTCCAGTGGGATGAGTCGCTCACATTTTCACACCAGTGGCCCCATCTCCTTTTCTTTTGCCACCTTTGTTCATTTCCACTGCTTCACTGCAAGTGGCCACAGCATGAGCTGACTCACATCTAGGACAAGACAGGAGCTGTAGGGGCTCCTGGAGCTTCGAATCACAAGGAGGAGGAGGTGCACTAGGTAAATACAGAGGCAGAAAGTTTGGCTTCTTTTGTCTCTGTTCTACTTGTGATAAGTGGGCTCCAAAACAACTCTCTTTTGGTCTTGCTTTTGGCATGGAACCTCATGAGAACCCCACAGCCTTCTACTTTGTATTTTCTCTTCCTGGAGGGAGAAGGAAAGCCCATCTATGGGATGTGGACTAGGAATGCCGCCAACCTCTTTCTTTCTTCTTTCCTTCTAATCTCGGCTTCTCACCCCAGAAAACATCTTCTCTCATAGTGATGAGATAAAAACTCCCACCTACTGTACCAAATAAAGACAAGCGGTAAGTATACAGCGGTGTGTGTGTCGTGTGTGGGTGGACAAATGATTAATGAGAATCAGTACACATATTCCTTACGAAGGTGTGAATAGAAGTAATTTGCATTAAAATACATTTGGATTAAAATACAGCAAAATGTACAATATCTTCCAGCATATTTTGGTGACAAACAATATCGTAGCTGAACAGTCTCCCTCAGAAGAATACGGTCACCAAGTACGGTCACTTAGGGTCACCAAAACCTGGGGGAGATCACTTCAGATGTACGTAGGTATCACTGAGGGTTTTGACATGAAGAGCTTTTCTGAGATTATCCAAGTAAGCCTTAAACCCAAGGAAAAGTGTCCTCATAAGAGTGAGGCAGAGGGAGAAACCTAATCAATACCAAAGGAGAAGACAAACCGAAGAAGGGCACCTGTGAGCTCGAGGACCGAGACTGAGATGATGCAGCGTGAGCTGAAGAAGCCCGCAGCCTGTAGGAGCTGGAAGAGGCGAAGCAGGGATTCTCCCCAAGCGCGTTGAGTGGGACTGCGGCCCTGCGGAGACCTTGATTTCAGGCTTCTGGATCCAGATCTGAAACAGAAAATAAATTCCTGCTTTTGGAGCCAAGGTTATGTTAATTTGTTATGGCGGTTGCAGAAACTGACACAGACAACACACCCTCTTATTTTTTTAAAAAGGCATGAACTACAGAAAACACATTTTAGACGTTGATCAGTCGAGATACTCTACCGCATGGAAATTAATGCTGACCCTCTCAGAAGTTAAACTTGGAATATTTGGTCAAAGTATTTGTCAAGGGGCCAGGGATTTAGCTCAGTGTTTCAGTGGCCTGCCTTGCAAGCACAAGGACCCAAGTTCAATCCCCTGTACCAAAAAAAAAAAAGTATTTGTCAAGGGGCCAGGGATTTAGCTCAGTGTTTCAGTGGCCTGCCTTGCAAGCACAAGGACCCAAGTTCAATCCCCTGTACCAAAAAAAAAAAAGTATTTGTCAATAAGCTAGTTTTCTTTTTATGCCTGTAATGTTGTATTCTACGTTGTTAGTCAATTTGTTTTATTGAAAGCTTACTCTGAGTAAATCAAATCAATATGCCAGCTACTATAGGGGAGAGGAAAACAGTGAAGAAGACAGAATAGCTGCAATAAACACCTAACATGTAGCATTTACTACGGGTTGGGCATGTTTCAAGGGCGTTGCAAATAATATACATGGCCTTCACAACATTCCCAAAGGTTGAAACTTGGATTATTCCAGTGTACAGAGAATCCCGAGACCGTGAGGGATCACACGACTTGATGGAGGTGCTCCAGGTGGCAGGGGGCAGAGCTGGGACTCAGAGTCTGAGCCCTTTGTCCACCACTGTCTTTGGGTGATGCAGAGGCTCGCGTCTCAGAGCACAAGTAAACAACTGGAGAAATAAATGCTCAATTGCTTCTGAGCCCCGCCACAAATAAACTTCCACAGAAATCACAGCCACGTGATATTTTACTTCTATCTAGGAGAAATTCTTCAGAGGGAGTAAAATTGTTACCAGACTTGTAGTAATAAAACCTTGTGCTAAATAAATGCACATTTTTTTCTCCTCAGGGCCAGGGTCATCCATGGAGACCTGATGAGAGAGCAGGGAAAGCAGCCTCCAAGTTCTACTTTTTCTTTCTTTGAAGTAACGCACATCTGGGTACCGGTGTTTTCTGTTTTGTCTCTCACAACCAGATCTCCATTTGTAGGGATGGCTTAGGGGAAGAATCACACCCAAAACAAGCTCCTCTTTCCTGCAAGGATCTTTTACCAGGGAGGCAAAGGGGGAGGTAAGATCTGTTTGTTTTCCTTTCCTCATCCTTTATTTGAAGCAGTTCTGAATATTCGCTGATACTGAGGTACCATTTGGGCAGACATTTGAAGCCTTGTGCTGAGTAGAGGCAGAGATGAAGCCTCTCTTTTTCAGTGGGTTGGTGGATAAGAGCCTGCAAACTCTGAAGCACTGAGTTGTTCTGGTGAGGTTTGAGGCTGTGCCAAACAGCTGCTTCCTCTACTGCTGGGAGAGGCCAGGAGAGGACAGGCTTCATGGGCAGGAATTGAGGCTGTGTGGAAAGTGCGCCAGCACGCTTAACAGATACTATGAAGAAATTCAATTTATGTTGTTGCAAAAAGAAGAGGGAACAGAGGAAATTGAACTTCCAATGAAGTCTGATAATTAAACTCAAGAGTACTGACAGGGTTGCTGAACACAACAGATAAATAACTACTTTCTGGTAATTACAAGGCAGGATGGTAACAGATTAGACAAGCTAGTTCACTTGGTATTTTCAAGGCTGACATTTCGATTCTAGGGGATATTTGGATCTGTGCTAGTGGATTTCTTTGTTTTCCACACTGGCTTTTCCTTTCCTGCTTCTCTTGCTTGTTGAAAAGAAAATGTGATTTTTCAGGTGTCACTTTTTGGCACATTCCTTGTGGCCCCTGCCTGTCACATAGCTGGCTTCAAGACCCACTGCTGCTGGACATGCTTGCTGAGGTAGTGTCTGCTTGTCTGAACATTCCAAATATTATCACAAAGATTTTAATCAGGATTCACTCAGTAGGAAAAGAGCTCGAATTACACCCTTCCATGGTCACAGCCCCTAAAGCTTTTCACTACTCAGCCCTCATACAAGCACTTCATTCCACAAAAGGGAAATGGAGGCAAAGAGTCCTTGGAGTCCTTTTCTAAGATGTGACGTTTTCATTAGGAATGAAACAGACACTCGATTCGAGGGAACAAAGCCATTCTCTTTTTTGAATAGCGATCACACAGAGACACACTATTTTCCTCCTCTCTTTGAGAACAATGTTAGCGTAGTCTTAAATGCTGGATTTACATAACAGAATAAAGATTTTGCCCTTTCCTATGTGTACAGACTGGGTTGGTGCCATGGTGTGTAGGAAGAAATAAAATCAATGTGTTTTCTCTGTGTTCCTTCGGAGAACCAAGTAAGAGATGTTCCCATGAGTGCCCAGCTTGGGTGATCAATAGCATCATGATTCATAGTCCAGATGGTCTGGGTTTCTTTGTTGACCCCAACCCCATGTTTTCGTTTCCTTTCTTTAGTTTAATTTTAAAGAAGAAGTGTCATAATTTATTAATTGGTGTGGGGAAATGGACTCCCAGTGCCTATCCTGTAGCCCGGCAGGGAGAAATTTCCTGTTCTATTTGAGAAGCTGTCCACCCTGCTTGGCACTTGAACAGACTGAAATGGAATTGTCTTTTGTTGTAAACACCTAATTTGTTCATTTTGAACTGTCTGAGTAAGTAGATCAAAGACCAGTGTCAAATGCCCAAAGCGGTGTTTGTCAGCATTGGACTTTTTATTCTTCTTGATCTAAAGCAACTGAGAGGGAAAAAGACTCATACTGTATTTCCACAAAAGCATAGGAAAGCTTGAGTTGGCAGCCTCTTGCGACAGAATGAATCCATGCTACTGAGTGCAGACCATTTGTCTCCTGATTACAACAGACCCCAGGGGGACTGGTGTTGGCTTTGAATTCTACCTCTTTTCTTTGAGAGCCTCCTTGTGACAGTTCCACCCCCAATCCTCACAGCACAAGGCCCGGGGGACTCGGACCTCCTCTCTGCTGTGGGTTTTAGTCAGCTTTGTAAATTCAAACAGAACCCTCTTGTTTACAATGTGTTGACTTGACTCGAACAATAACATATATTTTTAAACTATTCTCATTTGAAATTCAGTGGCGGATGGAGGACATAATGAACGCATTTAGTGTTCATGTGAGTTTTGCATGCGTGGTAACAAGGGCTGCAATGTAGAGGCGGAAAATAGCACACAATGGCCGAAAAAGACATCCAGGTCCTAATGTTTTAAAAGGCACAAAAATGGTGGCTTATAGTAGCTTTGTGTGCACCTACCTGGGATATTTTTTTGTGGGTTCATTTATGAGAGTTTGCATATGTTTTTCTCTCCATAGGAATATTAATTTAAAATGAAGTAGAGCCTGCCTTGATTATCCTAAAGGCGCAACTTTATTATTAGATAACTTCACAGTCAGCTCGGATGCCCTCCTTTCCTCTCGGTTGCATCCCTCACTGCTACTCCTTTAGCATCGTTCAGTCACCATCCAGAGGCAAAGCGCAGGCTGCAAGATTGCTCTCCTCCTTTGGAGCAGTTGTAGCCATTAACTTCTCTTCTTGGAGGGTTTTTAAAGGCTTGTTTAGTTTTGTTTTATTGTTCATTTCCTTTAAAGGAAAGTAAACTATAAAATATTTGTGAAAGCTTCCTCTATTTCAGATCATCTATATTTGTATTAGACATTTATCTCTGTCTTCCCTAAATGCCTACTCACTTTCTTTTCCTCCTTCAGTTATTTTTCTTACATAAAAAAGGAGAAGAAAAAGTGGAAGCAGCAGTGAGCTGTCATCTGGCGGTTTCTTTTCCATTATGCTTTCACTGCTGGGAAATGTTGGAACAAAAGCAACCAAAGCATTCCTGAATGGGATCTGCATTCAGCCCTGCTGGCGAGGCGTGATCAGCCTGTCTAGGATGAAAATACATGCTTTGCAGCACTGGTTGGGGAATTTTTATTTATCTTTGGAATGCATGCCCATCCCATGCCGTCACGTGGGGAGTGATTACCATGTCCTCACATGGCCCAGACTTACTGTGATCGAATGGAGAAAATAAAATATGGCCTGTCAACCTTTAGTCAGTATCAAATTGTGTAACAGATGTTGTTACAACACAGGGAATGCAGCCCACATCAGTGTCAATTTCTAAAGCATAGTTTTATCGGGGATATAGTTCCTGCCCTGTTCTGGCCAGATTTGCGTGTGGTGAAGCCACACCATTTTTGAGGACACGTTCCTAATGAGCAATCCATGGGCGTCAGGGATGAGAATGGAATGAATCACAGGACCAAGCATCCTCAGTACTGGAGAAGAAACAGGAGTGTAGGGTAGTTATCTTGGTCACACTCCCTTGACCACGCCAGTTAACAGTGTTCCAAGAAAATTCCCTGGTGCCCTTTTCCAGTTAGTCTCTTTCTCAGATGAGTGCTTTTCTAATTTGCATGCCCACAAATTAGTTTCCTGCGAACACATTTGCTTTTCAACTGCCAAGCAATGTAATAATATAGCACATCAGAAAAACAGTCTTGCTTCTGGACTCAGCCTTAGATCTAATTTGTGTAGCCTTTGGAATCATCTGACATGATCAGATGTCACTTCTGTGTATTAAAGGTTTGTTGAGAATTGTTAACTTTTCTCCCAAATACTAAGATTTCTGAATGCCATCCTTGGGTTACCTCGTTCTGTGATCACAGGTGTACTTGTGCTGGACCTCATTTTTTCACTTCATAATTGGAAAACAGAGAAATAAGCAGGCACATGAGCCCACTCTTGGTAAGATAACTGCACTCGCAGAATCTCTCCCCTTCTTGTGATGGCTTTTAGATGAAGGAGTAGTTTTTATGCCAGTATAGTGAAATGCTCAAATGCTGAGAGGACAGTTGTATGCATTTTATCAAGTGTATATGCCCAGGTAACCTGTGCCCAAGTGAGGATACGTCGCTTCCACAGCCCCAGGGAAGGTTCCTGTTCCCTTTCTGGTCGTCACCCTTCTCATGCTACAGGTGATCACTTTTCCAATTTCCATCCCCACAGATTCATTGTCCAGGAAGCACATTTGCCTGTCAATTGAGAAGTCATGTAATGCAATACGGCACTTCCAAAAGAAACAGTACTGTTTTTGGACTTGAAATCCTAGGTCTCAGTTATAAGACACTTGGATTCATCAGGCGATATAAATGTAAATCTAGGAGTCAAATAATCCCGCCCCAATTTCATCATCTCCTTAAATACTGTTTTGAAATATCCTCGGAGAGAAGCGACCCTGCGCCTGGACCCAGGTTTTGTTTGAACAAATCTTTATAAAGCACGGAATCTCTTCTGTTCTTTCTGCCTATTTTCCTTGTCACCTATGCAATTAATTTTGGACAAATGTCCTCTGAGGAAGGCATTTCCAGATTTAAAATCTTTGATTCTGTATTGTATTCTCAGAGAAGCACATTTAAAACACATCATAAGTCCATGAGAAAATACTGCTTAAAATTGCTTTTCCACTCGGAAAGCTGTATGAATGTTGTAGAATTAGATACCCAGAGATAAACATCAATTTCAAAGTCATTAACTCATATATATACTGTCTCATGCTTTTTAAACACAACAAGTGCTCCATATGACTCTTTGAGTAAGAAACTTCCCCAAGACTCAATGGCCCTTAAGACAACAACTCATCAGTATCTGTCAGTCTTGTGGGTTGGCTGGATTCAGGTGGAAAGGTCTTCCTACGCTTTCTAATATGGTCACAGTCAATTAACAGTTGGATCTGGAGCACTCTAGAGCCTTTGTCCCTCATCTGTCTGTGACAGGTCTTGGTGAGGCTGACACACCTAGAAATGGTTTGGTATCTTTCTCCAGCTAGGTTCGTGATGGGGCTTGTCGGTTTTCCTCACAGCATGATAGCCTCAGAGTGTGCTTAGACTTTTACAGTGGCTGGCTTGCCCCCAGAGTGATACAAACAGCAAACACAGAAGCTGATCAGCTAAAAAGGCCTCACTCCACAGTGGTGAAGGATTGCTTCTCCCTGTCTCTGCACCCTACTACTCTTTAACAATGACACCTGCTCAGATTCAAGAGGTGGGGAATCGACTCTACCCCTGGATGGCAGTTGTGCTTCCTGAAGAACATGCAGCCATCTGAGTCACCATAATAGTTTCTTGTTTTTACATCTGCTCGAAGTCCTCTCATGTATGT